AGAAGAAGAAGAAGAAGAAGAAGAAGAAGAAGAAGAAGAAGAAGAAGCTACAAATATATGATACTAGCCCATACACCAATACCTTCTGTTGAACAGCTTTGGAAGTGAGTATCTGAACTTTCCTTGTCAGAATGGGTTATTATTTATTCCCCAGTATCAGCCCATCTCCTAAATGATTTAAGATCCCTATTCAAGGGAAAGATGTTTTAGGAGCCATAAAAGTCATTGAGGATGGAATCTTCCCTCTAGTCCTGGGTGATATGACATTCTGGTCTACGCTAAATATTCACTATTACATACTATCACTTCTTCCTTTAAAAGGCACTCCACATAAGAACATATGCCTAGGAGTAAAACTGGCCAACAAACATGGACTGTGGGGTGTGGGGGGTACACATGTGATGGCACATGTAAGTGTGCATGTGTGTGTGTTGAGGGGAAGGAATTCTGTTTGTTTCTTTTTGGTTTGTTTTGGCATTTTTGTATCTCATTGGTTTTTAGTTTGTTAATTTTGATATTTTATTTTGCTTTGGGGGAGAAAAAGGAAGTGGAAAAATTAAGAATAGTATGATGTTGGGGGGAGGTAAAGAAGAGGGAAGGATCTGGGAGAAGTTAGGGAAAAATAAATATGATCAAAGTGTATTGTAAGGTAGTACTCACATAACAATATTATTACCAGTAAAGTGCTCCTACCACTGTTTCCTTTAACTATTTTAAGTGCTTTATCTTCATTTTTATGTTCCAAAATCACTGTATTATGAATTTTTTAATTTAAATTTTTTACTGAAAATAGATTCTTTTCTCAGAAAATATATCCTAATTACAATTTCTCCTTTCTCTGCTCCCAGTTCCTCACCCATTTTCTTCCCACCCAGTTGGACTCCCTTCCTGCATCACATTAGAAAAGAACATGCTTCTAAAATATGGCTGAGAAGCACCTAAAAAAGTGTTCGGCATCCTTAGTCATTGGGGAAATGCAAATCAAACAGCCTTGAGATTCCACCTCACACCAGTCAGAATGGCTAAGATCAAAAACTCAGGTGATAGTAGATGCTGGCGAGGTTGTGGAGAAAGAAGAACACTCCTCCATTGTTGGTGGGATTTCAAGCTGGTACAACTACTCTGGAAATCAGTCTGGCAGTTCCTCAGAAAACTGGACATAGTACTACCAAAAGACCCAGCTATACCACTACTGGGCATATACCCAGAAGATGCTGCAACATATAAGAAGGACATATGCTCCACTGTGTTCATAGCAGCCTTATTTATAATAGTCAGAAGCTGGAAACAACCCAGATGCCCTTCAACAGAGGAATCGATACAGAAAATGTAGTACATTTACACAATGGAGTACTACTCAGCTTTTAAAAACAATGACTTCATGAAATTCGCAGACAAATGGATAGAACCTGAAAATATCATCTAGAGTGAGGTAACTCAATCACAAAAGAACATACACAGTATACACTCACTGATAAGTTGATATTAGCCCAAAAGTTCAGAATACCCAAGATTCAATTCACAGACTATATGTAGCCCAAGAAGAAGGAAGACCAAAGTGTGGATGCTCCAGTGCTTCTTAGAAGGGGGAACAAAATACTCACAGAAGGAAATACGGAGATAAAGAATGGAGCAGAGGCTGAAGGAAAGGCCATCCAGAGACTGCCCCACCTGGGGATCCATCCCCTACACAGTCACCAAACCAGGACACTATTATGGATGCCAGGAAGTGCTTGCTGATATGGCTATCTCCTGAGAGGCTCTGCCAGAGCCTAACAAATACAAAGACAGATGCTTGCAGCCAACCACTGGACTGGGCGTGGGGGTACCAAATGTAGGAGTTGGAAAAGGGACTGAAGGAGCTGAAGGGGTTTGCAGCCCCATGGGGGAGCATCAGTGTCAATCGGCCAGACCCTCAGTAGTTCCCGGGGCCTGGTCCACCAACCAAACAGTACACATGGAGGGACCCATGGCTCCAACTGCATATGTGGCAGATGAGGGCCTTGTTGGAAGTCAGTGGGAGGAGCAGTCCTTGAGCCTAAGGGTGTTCTATGCCCCAGTGTAGGGGAATGCCAGGGTGGGAAGACAGGAGTGGGTGGGTGGGTGGGGGAGCACCCTCATAGAGGCAGGGAGAGGTGGGATAGGATAGGGGGTTTCTGAAGGGGAGACCTGGAGAGGGGAAAACAATTGAAATGTAAATAAAGAAAATATCCAATAAAACACGAAAAAGAGGAAAAGAAAAAGGAAAGGTGTTCCCTAACAGTCCTAGGCCAGACATCATGGGCCATGGCTTTCATCTTATGTTCCATTCCACATCCTACAGAGAGGGAAGCTTTCTGCTTCAGTTTAGTAGTATATACATTCACTCTCTTTCGGGGTCAAAAGGATTAAAGAATCTGGGGGAAAGAAAAAATATAGACAATTAAACAATTAAAATAAAGAGAGTTCTGTTGTCTGACACCAAACACCAAGTTACTGGAATGAAATTGGCTTCTTGGTTCTGCTTCTTACAAACAAGGGGGAGGGGGGGGCTATAGGATTTTAGTTAATCTTACTGAATATCTGATTCCTCAGCACAAAACAGGAACAGATACCACTTCCTGCTTGACAACCAACAAATACAAGATATCTCAAAATTCAGATAGCACATGGAGCATCTGATCAGTCAAACACCATGCTTATGTTCTTACTGAACATCTAATCAATCCCCCAAACAGTAAGGATATAAATATCTTTAACTTTTATCTACCAATTCAACTTACCATAGTTTGTGCTAAACCAAGAGTTCCCCACATTACCATGCCAGAAGCACCCAGAGCAACTGTTTCACCAATTGTATTTACAAGATCATCCTGGAAAAATATGACAGGAAGAGTTAGTCCCTGTGGATGAAGTAAAAGTACTATACACTCAACAAAGCTAAATATGATGATCCAACAACATTTTAAATAGGTCTCTACTCTTTATACACTCTTTACACATTTTGTTACTGTTTTAAAAACAGACTGTTAATTACTCTCATTACTTCTCCTTACAAGAGAACTCGTCTATCAAATAGAAAAAAAAAAAGAGAAGCAGAGTTAAAGTACAGCCCATACCACATAAAATTCTCTATAGACACTAACATCTCATATGAGTAAAATCAGAATTCAAATGCTGGGCTGGGAGGATAGATTGAATGGTAAAGTAGATGCTGTGCTAACATGAAGTTATAAGTTCCACCCCTAAGACCCATGCTATAAAAAGGAACTGTGTGTGGTGCTGCAAACTTGTAAGCTTGCAAACACAGTGCTTGGGAGGTGGGCAGGCAAGTCTCCCCCAGACTCACTGGCCAGGAATACTAACCCAATGGGCACACTTTAGGTCCTAGCAAGAGGGTCTAATTAAGAAAAAAGATACCTGAGGTGAGTGAACCCTTACCCACACCAAGAATTCTACTTTTAATTTTAAACGATTTAAAAGTGCTCTCATTTTTTTGCCTACATTACAAACATCTCTTTCTTCATGTATATATTCATAAACAATAGAAACTAAATTTCATCCTTTAAAAACATAAAAGTCCACTCAACAAAGTTTGTAAAGATGATCTTAGCTGCCATGCCTTGACTTACTTACCTGATTCAGATATTGGAAAGTTAGGTCAGTAAAGACAACGCGAAAATATACAAACATAGGAAGTGGATTGTGAGGGTCTTTTACTTTAGACACTCGAATGGCTTCTTGTACCCGGTTTCTGACGTAGAGCGCTGCACGTGGAGATGACTTCAAGCTACTCTTCAAATAGATGGATGGGTACAGGGCTGTGCTTTCCATCCATATCCAGAAAAGAGCATCGTTTCTTTTCTTCTCTATATCAGGGCAATATCCTTTGTAATCAGGGTCTTGAAATTTATTGTTATAACAATCAGGAAAAAGATAAAAACCCCATAAATGATTTGGCCGAAGTGACTTCCCCAATATTAAAGTCTCTTCCATAAAATGTCTTGCTGCCTCTTCAAATTCTTTTTTGGCCCTCTTGATGGCTTCTGTGAAATTAAGTTGTGTATTTTGTTGCTGGACTAACTCAATAGACTTATTCCTGTAAATATCCTTGGGTTTCCAGTTTCTTGACCAGGTAGGCCGCCAGTCTTCCCAATCAATGATAGCCAAGCCCACATTGTCTATTGGCATGTAATGCTGGATGTCATTCTTAGCTACTTCCAAATGCTTTTTTAGAGACCCCAACTGGGGTAGCCCTCCATGAAAAATTAATAATGTTTCATCTATGTGAGGATAGAGACCCAGGCGATCACTATAAAATATTGTGACAGGTTGACCCGTGGCAGTTTTTCTGGGGCTTCCCACTAAAGAGAACAGACTAAGATCTAGTGGCTGATTAAACCTTGTGAGACAAGACTCAGTTGGGGCATTCCAGGCCCAGAGGAAAGGCACATTAGGGATAAGTGGGGGCGCCCTAAAATCTACCGTCAAGCAACATGGAATCAGAAGGAAGACTACTAGTGTCTGGGTTAGTCCATTAGACTCAAGAAGGCTCCCAAAAAAGGAGTGTTTAAAATGCAACACTCGCATTGCAGAGAATTAATTAGTATCCAAGTACTTATTTCTTCTTATGCACTTTGGTCTCTCAAATATTTGGTGCAAAAGGTGAGAAAGATACTGATATGAGATCACTGTGAAAGATGAAAGTTTGATGACTGCTTTACATTGAACTATTCTTCTTCTTACTTCATATTTCAGGAATGTTTTGTGACAAGTTGTATAATCTATAACTAAAAAAAAAAAAATACAGAATTTATTACAGCCAGATTGGAAGCTTTACGAAGTCCTCGATGTCGTTTACAGGCACTTTAATTCAATTTCACAAGATAGAACCTCGTACTGTGTTTAAATCAGTAAGATTTTTTCTTTTATATATGATACAAATTCTGTAACAGTTAAATCACGTCTGATCCCATAGATAACTAAATGTAACTGCTTTCTTTTTCCTTTTTATATCCATCAGATGCCTTCGCAAAAACAAGTTTAAAAAAATAAGTTCTCAGTTATCAGTGTTGTAAGCCCACTCTTGTCATATACGCCAAATTTTGAAAACAACTTCTCACACAACTGAAAATGTTTGCCTTCTAATGATTCGTTTGCATGTGTAACTGTGAGGATGATATTGGGAACTAAACCTAAGGTCTTACACATGGTAAGCAAACACTGTTACTGCTAAATTAATGCCATTCCCAGTCGATGTTTGTTTGAATAAGGCTTTATTAAGTTCCTCTTGCTGACCTGGAATGGTGGATCATTCTTTCTCACCCTCCTAAGCAGATGGCATTATGGCCCTGTGCCACTATTCTGGATCACTTTTTTTTTTTTCATTTTATTCACCTGTACTTGTTTTCTTAACAGCAGCAAGGGAGAAAACAAAAGTCGGTTTTGATGTAGGTAGTAAGTTTAAGAACCCCTTAGAACATTGCCGAACCAAATCTTACATCAATGTCCACTTGTTGTTAAAATAGCAAGCTACTTTATGTCTTTACAAAAGGAATTGATTCTAATCTACGTTATTAAAAGCAAGAAATGAATTTTGAACATTAAATAGGGTTATATAAGGAAATTTGTATTTTTATTCGTAGGTAAACTGAAGACATTACTAGTAATTTGTCACATAACAAATGAGTCTGAGCCAAAAACCAAGAGATTAAGTTGCATGTATTCCAGTATTTAGTATTTGGAAAACTTACCACTTCTAACACATATTTAAACGTTTTTGTTTTAGGAGGAAAAAACAGCTTTCATATAGTTATGTTGCTAGTATTCGTCTATGGGACATAGAGTGATCATTATATGCTTCTTGGTAGGAATGCTGTTCTTATCATAGCAAACTATCCACTCATCCTCATTGTTGAAAACAACCTCAAAAAAATAGTCAAATAAAGGGAAATCTTAACTTCATTAGTCTCATGTTTTACACATGTTTAGAACAGGTAAAGTCTGTTAAACTCTGTCAGGTCTCCCTATGTAAGACGTAGATAATCTTAATGTAAAGCAAAGGAACAAAGTAATTCATACCGAGTGTTAACATCAACGACTGAATGACATTAGGTGGGAGAAAGAAATTGAATAAACACTTAGAACTCTAGAAACACCAAAATGAAACAGACATGAGCATTATCCATTGAAAGACATTTAGGTTGCTTCCATTTCCCGCCTACTGTTAATAGGGTGGCTTGTAAGATTGTTGAACAAATATCTGTGAAATAGGCTGTCAAATCCCTTGGTCATATCCCAAGGACTGATGTAGCTGAGCCATATGGTTGATTTAGTTTTTGATTTTTCTTCTAGATCTTCTATACTGAACTTTGTAAGATTCTCTGTACTGATTTTCAGAGTAGGTGAACTGAATTGCATCCCTAACAACAGTGAATGAGAGTTCCTCTTTTCCCACAATCTCCAAACCTGCATTTATTGTCTGTTATTGACCATAGCTATCCTGACTGAGATGAAATAAAATCATAGACATTTTAATTTGTATTTTCCTAGCTACTAAGGATAATGAGCGCTTCTTGAGGTACTTTTTCCATTTTTATTTCTTCTATTGAGAACTTTGTTTAAATCTCTAGCCCACATTTTAATTGGGTTATTTGTTTCCTTGATTCATTGGTTTTGGATATTTTAGATAGTAATTCTCTGTCAGATTGTTGCTATTATAAATTCTCTCTCTGTGAGTTTATTCTTTACTCTATTGTTTTACTAGCTTTACAGAAGCTTTTCGGTTTTATGAGTTCCAATGCGTAGAATGTTGGCCTTAATTCTTTGCTAAATGGAGTCCTTCACAGAAAGTCTTTCTCTACTCCTGTATCTTGTGATGTATAGTCTATGTTTTCTTCTAACAGATTTAGATCTCAATTCAAATTGAGGTCTTTGATCCACTTGGAATTAACTTTAGTGCAGGGAGCTTGACCTCGGTCACCTGCAGTTCCAAGCTTCAAATTCTTGGTTGTAAGTATATCACATGGGATAACCAGAAAATAAGTAAGAAAGTATAAAGGGACCAAAGTAGAGAGGGTGACTGGGAGGGGAATAGCAGAATGTAAGTGACCTGAAGTGGGAAATTGAATAAGAGAGACAGAAGTCCAACTGGAGAATAAGGAAGATGATCAATACAAAAGAAGACTGGGCAGACAAGTAAAACCAAGGTTGTTTATAAAGCCTCAAGGAATCATTTTATATCTACCAGTACCAGATGTGAGAAATGTCCTTTTGAAGGTTTGATCAAATTAGTCCAAGTGACTCTAAAAACAGTACATGTTATAGATGTAGCTCTATGTTGCCACTCATGAGTTGAAGTTGGTCCCTAATGCTGAAGACACTACATACTTAGGGTATAGGACTCAAATGACTTGAGCTGTATCTGACCTGAAAGCCTCTTTCATATGGTCTATCTTCATGGTTCCAGAAAATATTATGCAAGCTGCCAAGAGAAGAAAGCAATTAACATTCCTATTCAGTTGCACACTTGTGAAACATGGCAATTATGAGTATGGTAAAATATATACAATGGTACAATAAGTGGCACTCATATGCCAGTGCCAACCTACAGCTGTCTCATTGGATTTAAGATATATTCAATAGGAGGGAAATCATAACTGGTATGGGAAACTGAACCAGCTTTCCCAGGGCTTGTGAGGACCTTATGAACCTTAGAAGAACCTACTACTGTCATTTTTCTAGACCAAGATAATTCTTTACTACATTCTAGATATTTTCCTTATACCCACAGATAAAGGTAGCTACCACCCTTCAGCAAAGAAGCCTCTCTGTTCAGCAAATGGAAATTGTCACAAGCAACCACATCTGGACTCAATGCAGAGGTCAACTGATTGTGGACAGTTAAACCCCAGTGGATACATTTGTATCATAGCTCCAACATTCCTCCTGCTCAAAGATCATTATGGAAGAGAGGCCATAAAGATCACAAGAGCCAATATATGGCTCTTGGATACCAGAAAGTCTGGTGTTAAAAAAATCTTTCCTAGACTAGACTGGAACACTGATAATATCAATGGATGTGTTTGCAAGGAAGAGAAAAATTTTGCAGTGTCAGACCTTTACACAAAGAACTACAGGATTTTGACTGCTAGGAGAAGGAAAATTACATTCTCTCATGCATTAGTTCCCTTATTAGTTATTCAATGCAAAGTGATCAACCTTGAAGCCACCAAACAATCAAACAACTGGATCACTAGGTTGGACTCATATACATGTACATACACATACACACACACACACACACACGCACATACATATATATGATACATATTAAAGAAATACATATAAGATGTATTAAATATATTTAAAATAATATAGGCTTATAAATTCTTTAAAGAATATATTAATGAATATATATAACATATTAAATATAAACATAAATATGTAATATTAAAGAATTATTTATAATTATATACACATACACACATGAAGCTCCCATTTATACTTAGAGGCTACCATATATAAAAAATGGCTACCAAAAACTTAAGAGTAGGGTTCATGGGAGGACTTTGAGGAAGAGTAGGTGGGATGGCTGGAGGAAGGAAAGGGAACAAATAAAGTAATTCTATTTCAATTAGAAATACATTTTCAAAGTAAAATTAAGTTTTAAAAGCTTAACTACTTAATTCCAGGTAACAAATGGCCTTATGTTTCCTATCAACTAGGTAGAACATGACCACTTGGGGAAAAAGAAAGAAGCAAAACTCAAAATACCTCAAATTCTGAAAATATTTTAAAGACCAACATGAAACCACAAGTGGGAAATTCTACACCTTAAAATGTATTTCATGAAATAAAACATTTTTAAGTATTGTATAAAGTTTGCCTTCAACTAGGTACATATACAATAACAAAATTTCATGTTTCTTTGGTCCCTTTCCCAAGATATATTCCTGTGTATATTCAAATATCCTAAAACTATAAAGTTTGAGATCTGAAGACCTTCCAGTTCCATGTATTTCAGTTAAGGGATGTGTCACCTGTACTCTACTATAGTTGGCTCCTAAGTGTCTTCTTGTTCATTCTATGAGTGATTTTCTCAATAATCCCCAAGCCCCAGTGGGACAGTCACCTTGTTCTCTACATCCATCCACTCCACCACTCACAGCTGTGAAGTGGGCTGGTGTCAGTGTCTTCTCAAGTAGTGACAGGTCGATTACGTGCCCTACAAATTGTTTTCTTTCAAAATAATTTAGAAGCATAAAAATGGAATGCACTTTAAAACCTAGTTAGATTAAACTCTCATTCTTGCTGTAAAGAAATCAGTTGAATACATGCTTGCTTATTAAATTCTTTAAGTCAGGCATCATTTGTCTGAGAAATTCCAAAATTATCTTGTAATAAAATTATAAAGCCATGTATATATACCTACCAATGTAGTATTTGTCACTATGTATTCAAAACTCTCTAATATAATACACTATATACAGTCACTTCAAGTCACTGTGACAGTTTAAAACTACGTTGCATCTTGATGGAAGTTATGCAGATATGAGAACCCATTACACCTATAATGAAGTAACAGATAAAGATGTTGCATTAAATCAGGGGTTCTTACCCTGTGGAACTGAATGAGCCTTTTACAGGGGTCACCTAAGACCATTGGACACACAAGCATTTACATTATAATAACTAGCAGTAACATAATTAAAGTTATGAAGTAGCAATGAAAATTTTCATGATTGAGAGTCAGCAAACTATGAGTAACTATATTAAAGGGTCACTCACA